CAGCTCAAATTCAAGGACTCAAACATTCAGCCATTACCTCAATCACAAATGTGTTCTATTTACTTATCTTATAACAGAGGCACACAGGTGAGTGTGTGTGTGTAGGAAAATTGTTATCAGCCATCCCTCCTCTTGAGGCATGAGACACTCATGGCTCACCAGAAACAAAAGAGGCTTCTGGATGAATGTAGACCAGCATGATAAAAAGCTGAGGAAATTCTCTCGGGAGATAAAATGGGCGAAGGGAAACGACCAAGAGTTCAATGTCTGTAGAACTGTTCCCTCACTACAATAGTGGACCGGTCGACTGCATGAGCAGTGACCGGGACCTCTGCACACTGTACCTCAGCAGCCAGTTTTCAAACCTGGACTAAGTTACTGCCCAGGAGAGAAGAATACAAAACCCTACGCCCTGTCCATATCTATGGAACCCTCAGCATCTGACCAGGTCCAGGACCATGACTCATTGATCCTCCCACAGAAAGTTCTTCTTGGGGTGTCTAGACTGGAACCGGAGAATCAACTCAGACAGGCCCATCAACAACACCTTCCCACTGTCCTGATTGCCTGTTCATTCCTGACACCCTTCGCTCCAAGGTACTCACCTTTTGTCATAGTTCCCGTCTTTATTGTCATCCGGGCATCTCCAAAACACTTGCCATCATTCACAATCACTTCTGGTGGTCTACTCTGTCGAAAGATGTCAAGGAATTTGCTTCAGCCTGTCCTACCTGTGCCCAAGCCAAGAATTCTTGCAGACCCTCAGCAGGACTGTTACTCCCGTTGCCTATTCCTCGCCATCCCTGGTCTCATCTCAGCATGGATTTCATTACGGGTCTTCCCCCTTCTGATGGATATAAGGTAATCCTCACCATTGTGGACCGTTTTTCAAAAATGTCGCATCTGGTTCCCCTCAGGAAACTCCCCTCTGCCAAGGACATGGCCGACATCGTGGCTAAGGAGGTTTTCCGCCTTCATGGACTGCCCTTGGGCATTGTTTCCGATCGAGGACCTCAGTTTGTCTCTGTCTTCTGGAAAGAGTTCTGTGTTCGTCTGGGCATTCAAGTGAGTCTCTCGTCCGGTTTTCACCCCCAGACTGATGGACAATCGGAGACAATCAACCAGGAGGTGGAGACCAGGCTTCGTGTACTCTGTGAGGACGATTCTACCCCCTGGTCACGTAACCTGCCGTGAATGGAACATGCCCTCAATTCCCTTCCATCGAGCTCCACAGGTGTATCCCCATTCTATGCTGTATACGGGTTTGAACCTCCCATCTTCTCCCTGCAGGACCATGTGTCCAGGGTTCCGTCGGCCCAGGCGGCCACTCTTAGATGTCATCGGGCATGGCGGGTGGATTGCAGGAACCTCGTCTGTTCATCGGCCATCTTCTCACGCTCTGCCAATCATCGCAGAATACCTGCTCCTGTCTACAGTCTTGGGCAACGGGTCTGGCTGTCTGCTAAGGACGTTCCCCTACTGGTGGATTGTCGTAAGCTGGCTCCTCGTTTCATCTGACCCTTCCCAGTGTCCAAGGTCATCAATCCTGCGGCGGTCTGCCTCCGTCTCCCCAGACCTCTTCGCATCCACCCCACATTCCACTTTTCCAGGATCAACGGAGGTCGCACCGCACCCTGTTCCAGCGGTGGTCCCGGAGGTCACACTGCATCCGGTCCAGCCTGTCCAATAGGCTCCGCCTGCAGTGGCTCCACCTCCAGTCAAGTCAGCACCGCCCGTCCAAGAGGCTCCGCCTGCAGCGGCTACGCCTCCAGTCAAGTTAGCTCCACCTGTCCAAGAGGCTCCTACCCCGGCGCACCAGCCTTTCCAGGAGGTTTCGCCTGCAGCGACGCCTAAAGCCAAGTCATCGGCACCAAGTTTGACACCTGCAGAGTCCACGTCTTCGTTCTGTCAGCCTGCAGAGTCCACATCTTCGTCCCATCAGCCTGCAGAGTCCACGTCTTCGTCCCGTCAGCCTGCAGAGTCTACATCTACATCCCGTCAGCCTGCAGAGTCTACATCCCCGCCTCAGTCTCCAGAGTCTACGTCCCCTCTGACTCCAGGCCAGTCATCGGCAGCCATCACCTCCAGTCCAGTCCTCGCCCGTCGCCGGCCCCCCAGATTCCCGCAGTCCCGGCTCCTGGTTGCCCGTCGCCGGCCCCCTAGACTCCCGCAGTCCCGGCTCCTGGCTCCCCGTCGCCGGTCCCACAGACCCCTCTGGCCCTCCTCCTCCCGCCCTGCTCTGGCCCTCCTTCCTGGTCCCCCTCCTCCCACCCTGCTCTGGTTTCCTGTGGGCGTCTGAAATCCGCCCTTGAGGGGGGGTTCTGTCATGACTCCCAGTCTTTCACCCTCCTCTGCCTCTGCTGCCTCCTCATCAAGCCCTCAGTCACTGCATTCATCTCACCTGTCCCTGTCATCAGCTCATTACACACACCTGCTCCCCCTGCTATATATTCACCAGCCAGCCACCAGTCCCCTGCCAGATTATTGAACACTTTTTGTTGGGTGATCTTCCAGCCTTGCACCTTGCCTTCACAGCCTCTGGACCCCATTTTTTTGCCTGACCCCTGCCTTAAACTCTGCCTGCCACCGCGACCCTCGCCTGTCTACTACCACGTCTCCAGCCTGCTCCCTGTACCTGCTTGTCCCAATCTGGTTTTGACCCACGCCTCCTCCCCAACTCTTTCTCCTGCCTCGCCCTCCTCTGGTAACGCTACGTCAATAAAGACTTTTTATGAAGCTTTTACTGTGTTTGCTGTCATCACAGGTCTTCCAAGTTCTGGTCGTGACACAAAAAGCCTACAAAATGCATAGATTACTAAAGAAGAGGTCTACCCACAAGGGAGATGCCACTGTCTCAGCTGCAGCTACATCGGTGACATAAAACCTTGTGGATATGAACCAATAAGCACATTAAGATAAATTCAGAAATGTTCTAGTTACAACTTAGGTGTGTTCTTGCTGTGCCGTGGTTCTATTTCCATGCTGTCGTTCTTTTTTTAAAACACAGAAACAGTTTTGTTTCCTGCTTTCCCGCGCTACGTTTCGTCTGCGGCTGCAGACGTCAGCCTGAGGAAGTCAAGAGTCAAGAGTCATTTATTGTCATATTCTCCACATGTGCAGGACTTACAGAGAAATGAAATTCAGTTTCAGCACACACAATTCAAAGATCAGACATACGTGGGTAAGACACATAACAAGAATTGGTGACTGCGGTCATTCGCAACATGAGTCACGCTACCTTAATAGTTAGATGAAAAGGGTGTTACATGAGGAAAGTTCAGGGAGGGGAAAAAAAAAGGCATTAACAGGGTTACACCAGCAGGGTGTAGCACTCCAATGCAAAAAAACACCCGACATGGAAGCACAGACAGCACGTGTACAACATCAGAGTCCAATGGGGAGGTGGGGGTGGGCGGGATCCTGAAGCCTCCAATGGGAGCTGCCACTGCGGCGCATCGACCAGCTGCAGAACAACAGGTGGGAGGGAGAGATAAGGAACAGAGAGCACATTGAGGTCCCTGCAGATATAGCCTGAAGGGAGAGGGTGAAGGTCGGGACACAGCATCTGTCGGCATTCCTCCTTTTGTGGGGGTGTGTTGAGGCAGCCTTGAGAGGCTGCTATGGCGTCAGATAAGGATAAACATAACTTTGTTTAGGGTAGACAGAGATAATCTTCCCCTCCGTCTTGTAGTCTCTAAGTGGTCATTCATGTCCACCAGTGAAGCCAATTTTACATTCCACATCCCCGCATCGTCCGGCGACCCTCTCCGAGATCAAATCCATCTTGCGCACTAACACAGGCAACGCCGCAAGGACATTGTCCAGCTTACGGTTCACCTCGAGTAACGTCCCAGTCTGTGAGGTCACCGCACGAGCGGCACATTCCGTGGGTACGGGTCGCACTCCAATCGCTCCCGTCTTCCCAAATTTCCAGAAAACCAGATATCCTCCCACTCCAATCAGAAGAAATCCAGTGATCATCAGGCCGAACATCCACAAATCTTCCACGTCCTCGATGGACAGCTGAGAGAGGCACACGATTCGCCAGACCTCCCAAGAATCGAGTGCATATCCCGATGCGAATGTCCCCTCGGGACAGGTGGGAGCCCCCTTCTCCGTTCTCATCGTAGAGAAAATTTTGTCAATCACGTTGAATGACCAATTAATTAAGTCCATATTTCCAAAAAGAGAGTAGTGGTTTCAGGAGAAATGCAGAGAAGTGCTCTGTAGGCAGACAGGACAAGAGCCTTGGGGAAGCCGATAAGGGAGCTGAGAAAAAAGCGTCTGTACTCTCTGAAGGCTGAAGAAACAAGTCTAAATGTTCTAGTTACAAACTAAAACTTGTACCCACAGCAATGTTAAGTGCTGCCACTGAGGCAATCGGTTAGCCAGAGAATGACAGCAAATTTACTTCTGAAGTACAAAAGTAGCTCAAACCAAGGAGCCTGTACACACAGTACTTCTGTGGCCGTTTTTTTATAGATTTAGTGATTTTTATCCTTTTTATCTGTTGATTTTTATTTGTTTTTATTTAATGTCTATGCCCATTTTTATCCTGACTTCTGCATTTTTGCCCCATATTTATTCTATGTCTGTTGCTCTTCTCTGAGCAACGCTGTTTGAAGGCACTATAAAAATAAAGTTCACTAATACTTTTGTCCGTGCTGATGCAGGCGTTTATGGGCTTTTTAAGCCTCGAGCATGGGTGCAAGGCATTCATTCCTACCAAGGACCACTGTAAATGTATTGATTAAATGAGTGCTAAACACCTTTTAAAAGCAGATTGTTGTTTATCTTTGGCTTATGCTGTTTAGAGGAAAAGGGTTTATATGGTTCCTGGGGTCACCAGGTTGGTGGCCCCTGCTCTAGAGAATGCATTATTTTTCTTAGGCCTGGTAAATCTCTGAGAAAAATCAGATTAGCTAGAATGTGTTATTTATACAGTTTAATTTCTTTTTTACTGAGACTCTGACTTGCTCTTCTCTGTTTCTTGATTCCAGTTCAAGCTCCAGATTTCAAGTTGAATCCAGTCAGGAAGCTGATCCCAGCAGCCAGAGGGGGGCAAGTGATGATTGAGTGTCACCCTCAAGCAGCACCAAAGCCCATCCTGTCCTGGAGCCGTGGGACAGAGCTGCTCACCAACAACAGCAGGTGCCGGGCCTTTTCTTAAGCAGACTTGTGCCTCGGGAGTAGTCTCCTCAATCAGCAGTGGTTGATTGCTGGACCAGAGGCTTTTCTACGGTGGGCATCTAGATGCCACCATACTGTCTCTGTGGGGATTCGTTCAAAATCACGTCACCTCCCTATCAGAGTCTTACTCCACCCACACTTCCTGTTTGAAAAGTACTTTTAAAGTGGACTGAGAGAGCGACGCTTGGGCAGTGACTGACAGAACTCTCCTCAGCCCCCTCAACCCCCATGCACACTCAGAGTTTCTCTGTTGGAAAAATTAGTCATTAACAAGCACGTACAGGTGCGCACGCACGCACACACACGCACGCACGCACACACACACGCACACATGGAGCTAGTCGATTAAATGAATTTTAATCTCAATTACGATCTGAGTTTTCAACAATCATAGCTTTTGCAGCTATTTTAACAACTTCTCAGAGCCCTTCATTAGTTTTCTTTCCCAAAAGGACCTAGAAACATTTGTGATGACCCATAGCTACTTTCTTGGATATTGATTCATTCAATGATGTTCCCTGTAGGTCAGCCTGCACTTGTTCTAGGAAAGGGATGGATTTGCACATGTTACATCCAATGACCAATCATAAACCAGTCTCAGTGAATCTCACAAAAACAGCTGTTTTACAAGCATCATAAATTCAAGATACAGCAAGCCATAAGTTCATTTTCTTTATCAGGGCTCCAAACTCACACTCACACAATGAGCATGTGTATCTCCTTTAAGCCCCATGAGATGTCTAAGCTGCAGCTGTTACACACCTGCTTAGACTCTATCAAAACCTGGATGCTGGGATCTTTCTTCAGCTGAATGAAGATAAGACTGAGATCCTCATCTGTGCCCCAGACAAGCTGGTTCCCAAAGTCAGAGACTCTCTTGGTCAGCTTGCTTCCCACACCAAACCTTCTGTCAGGAATCTTGGCGTGACCTTTGACCCAGCTCTCACCCTGGATTCTCATGTCAGTTCTCTTGTTGGCTCTTCCTTCTTCCATCTCAGGAACGTTGCTAAGCTGAGTCCCATTCTGTCCCGCTCTGAACTTGAGACAGTTCTCCACACCTTCATCTCCTCACGCTTAGACTACTGTAACTCTCTTTTCACGTGTCTGAGCAGAACCTCCCTGAACCGTCTACAGGTGGTTCAGAACGCCTGTGCTCGGCTTCTGACCAAGTCCTCCAAACACACCCACATCACATCATCAGTTGGACGTGCCTGGAAAACCTCAGCAGGGAAGCATCCAGGAGGCATCCTAACTAGACGCCCGAGCCACCTCAACTGTGGTAAACTCGTTCGTCCGTTCATGCACATCACCAATTAGATGACGAGGTATTTGGCTACCTTAAGAGAGTCATAGTTACTCCCGCCGTTTACCCGCGCGTCGTTCAATTTCTTCACTTTGACACTCAGAGCACTGGCCAGAAGTCACATTGCATCAGCACCCCGGTGGGCCTTTGCAATGCTTTGGTTTATTTCAGATTCCCCTTACTTACATTAATTCCTACTAGAGACCACTGCAACTGTATACGAGTGTTCCACACATCTATGGACCACTGTGGCTGAAAACTTGTGAATTTTGAGTAACCACCTAGTAACCAGCGTTTTCAGCCCGGTGAGAAACTGGGCCAAAAGTGGTGACTGTTTTATTGTGTTCTCCTAGAATCACAGTGACTCCTGACGGCATGTTATGGATCCACAACATCAGCAGGATTGATGAAGGAAAATATACCTGCTTTGCTGAAAACTACCTGGGCAAAGCAAACAGCACGGGACACCTGTCTGTCAGAGGTAAGCTCGAACCTACTAAAGACTGTAAATACAAGATGGACAAACCCTCCCTGCCATCACCAGCAGGTTTCTGAAGAGCTGAATTGAAGCCCAGTAGGTGGTTCCTACCACTTCTACCTTTGTCACATCACACATCTTTTTACAAAACACAAAAATGGAGCTGAGAGCAAAGCTGTGATGGTGGGAGAAGCAGATGATTTACACCCAACAAACTCTGAAATGACGTAACTACGAGCTAATTAAGCTAACGGAGGTTGGCAGGTGCTTTCAGCTATAAAACCACTCTGCTAGCCTCTGCCCTCTAGGCTCTAGCACTTTTACATTTTTACTGAACTGTTAAAACCTCATGCTCTATACCTGAGCCCTCAGGGACACAAACCAGAACCTTCTAGAAGACTAGATAGAAAAGTAGACGTGAATGCTCTTTCCAGGCTGTTGCTCCACGACTTTGGAATTAGCGTCCCTGATTTTTACGGAGTACGAACCAGTCTGTCACCTTTGAAAAGTAGCTAAAGCCCCTTTTGTTTAAATCTAATTTTGCTAAATTCTTTTCTTTTCTGCATCTTTATATTGAAATTTTCTGATTTTAATTAGAGGATCGTGACCGTTTTATCTTGGTGAGACATTTTTCTGTGATAAGTACAATGTAAATACATTTTAATTACTAGCTTATTAATTACTTTTACATGAGGCTGAGGCCTTCCCAGAAGCAAACACGCTGCTAGCACTGACAGCTCATCCATCTGATTATCTTCTAATTATTCACAATTTGTAATGATTCATGTTCCTCATATTCTGCCTGTCATGCTGGTTGCCCTTCCTGCACTGATCAGCATCATTTAGTTCACCTGATTACCTCATGGAGCACACCTGTTCTTTCCTCTATTTAAACCCTCAGTGATCGCTGCCAGATTGTCTGTTGCCTTTTTTCTCAGCATTCCAGCAATTCATCGTTCTGACCTACCAAGTCCTGTACACGTTCTGGGATTGTCTCTGCCTAGCCCTTAAAGGATTTGTCTGCTTTTCTGACCTCTGGACTCCGACCCTGTTTTTAACCACGGCTTCTGATCCCAGTCTGCTCCTCCTGTTAAAAGAGGAGACATATTCACAGACAGAAGAGGAGGGAGAGTTTTCCGTCTAAGGAACATCCGGGGAACTCTCCAATCCAAACCAACGTTTCCCCCTGTCTCTGCCTCTGCCACATTTTCCCTCTACACTGACCCCTTCAACAGAACTTGCTGCAGAGACCCAGCTCATGCCCAAACCCTCACTCCTTTAATAAAGTATCTTTTTATATATTTAACTCCTGTGTGTGGCTGAATTCCGGGTCTCCAGAAAACCCTTTACAGAACAATCTGGCCAGTATGGACCCGTCGCCCCCTCAGGAATGGCAAACAAAACTCGAGACCAACATGCAGCAGATGTTAACCATGTTGGGTGATTCTTCCTCTGTTACTACACCTAAGACTTCAACTTCTACTGCAGCCCCCCAACGCCACATCTCACCCCTCAGGGAGCCACACCTGACCCCTCCTGAAGTGTTTAAGGGTGAGCAAGGCCAGTGCAGATCATTTATCACCCAATGTGAAATATATACCCTCCTGTTTTCCCACTGAACGTGCCAAGGTTGCCTTTGTTATTTCTTTACGGTCTGACAAAGCCAAGAAATGGGGGACGGAAGAGTGGCAGAGGAACTCACTGATCTGTTATTGTTTCAAGGATTTTGCTGTAGAACTCATCAGAGTTTTTGATCCTGTTCTACCCAAGAGGGAGGCGGCCCGAGGCCTGTTGTCTTTGAAGCAGGGCAAGAAGCGTGTGGCAGAGTATATAATTGATTTTCACACCTTGTCTGTTGATAGTAACTGGAATGATGAGGCTCTCTGTGACGCCTTCTATCAAGGATTGACTGAGGAAATCAAGGACGAGCTCGCTACTCGTGACGCACCCAGGGACCTGGCAGAACTGGAACCCCTAGCTACCAGGATTGATTTAAGGCTTCACGACCGACAGCTGGAGAGGGGTGGTTCACATCAGATGCCTCGCTTCCGGCCCAGCTCTGAACTCCCATCTCGATCGTTGATGACCCCTCCTGTGAGTACCAATGTTTCGGAACCCATGCAGATCGGCCAAGCCCGTCCGACCCCCAAGAGAGGGAGAGGAGATTTAAGGAGGGATTTTGTTTCAATTGTGGAGGAAGGAACCATCAAGTCCGAAAGTGTCCAAAGGCTAGACTCAGTAAGAGGTGAGAGGCTTTTACTGAGTCTTAACAAGTCCAGCAAAACCCCTCCAATGGTCTCTATTCAGATCCATATTAATGGTCATGTAAAGCAGGGGTCAGCCTTCGTTGACTCAGGGGCTGACACAGAGTTCATGGACATTGAATGTGCCAAAGCTTTGAACATTGAGATGTTACCCACTTCTAGGACTCGGGATGTGCTAGCTATAGGTGGTCATGTCCTACACAAAGTGACCCAAGAAACAGTTCCTGTCAAAGTCACCATTGGAGGTAATCATCATGAATACATTTCCTTCCTAATAATCCATTCCCCTAACATTCCCATCATACTGGGGGCTTCCTGGTTAAGGATACACAACCCTCATATTGACTGGAACAAATGGGAGGTCCTCGGTTGGTTTACAGGCTGTCATTCCTCCTGCCTTTTTTCTGCTGAAACCCATGAACACATTACAGCAGATTCAAGAAGCATTCCCCAACCTATCTAAGGTTCCCACAGAGTACCATGACCTCAAGGAGGTATTTAATAAACATAGAGCTTCTTCTCTCGACCCCACAGACCCTATGACTGCGCCATTGACTTCCTGCCTGGCTCTTTTCCCCCGAGGGGACGTTTGTACTCTCTTTCAGGCCCTGAAACTCAAGCCATGACCAAGTACATTGAGGAACCCCTCCAAGCTGGGATCATACTCCCGTCTTCATCCCCCGCTGGTGCAGGCTTTTTCTTTGTGGGGACAAAGGATGGGTCCCTGAGGCCTTGTATAGACTATAGGAGATTGAATGAAATCACAGTAAAGAACCGTTATCCCCTTCCATTCATCAACACTGCTTTTGAACAACTACAGGGTTCCAGTGTGTGCACCAAACTCGACCTCAGAAATGCTTATCACCTAATGCGGATCAAAGAGGGTGATGAATGGAAGACGGCTTTCACCCCCACTGGACACTATGAGTACCTTGTTATGCCCTTTGGTCTCACAAATGCCCCCGCCGTGTTCCAGGGATTGTTCAATGACATTCTGAGGGACATGATTGGTCATTATGTGTTGTGTACTTGGACGATATCCTCATCTTCTCCAAGGCCTTCTCATCCCATTGCGATCATGTCCGCTTGGTTCTGCTCCATCTCCTACAAAACCTGTATGTTAAAGCCGAGAAAAGTGAGTTTCATCAGCTCTCCACTTCCTTTCTCGGTTTTGTCATTGCCCCCAATCAAGTATCCATGGACCCTTCCAAGGTGGCATCAGTCAAGGAATGGCCAATTCCTCAGAACCGGAAACAGCTTCAAAGGTTCCTTGGCTTTGCCAATTTTTATTGACGTTTTATCAGGGGTTACAGTTCTATAGCTGCACCCCTCCATGCCCTCACATCATCAAGGGTTAATTTTGTCTGGAATGAACCAGCAAACCAGGCTTTCTCACGCCTAAAGGACCTGTTTGTCTTTGCACCCATTCTGCGCTCTCCTGACCCTTCCCGTCAGTTCATTGTTGAAGTGGATGCTTCTGACTCGGGTGTAGGTGCCGTCCACAGCCAAAGGTGTGTTGATGGGTTGATTCACCCCTGTGCCTTCTTTTCCAAAAGCTTGTGTGCTGCTGAATGCAGCTATGATGATGTAGGGGATCGGGAACTACTGACAGTCAAGCAGGCGCTAGTGGAATGGAGGCACTGGTTGGAGGGTGCCAAGGAGCATTCCTTGTTTGGATTGACAACAAGAATCTCCAGTACATCACCAATGCCAAGAGGCTAACCCCCAGGCAAGCCAGGTGGGCTTTGTTCTCTTCAAGATTTAATTTCACCTTGTCCTACAGACCAGGGACCAAGAACGTCAAGCCGGATGCCCTTTCCCTGCTCTACGAGGACTCGGCGGAGGAGCAGGTTGCTGAAAGAGGAGACTACATCCTACCTGACAGTGTGCGATTGGCGGTCACTTACCTTGACATTGAGGAGAGGATAAGGGCTACCCATCAACAGCATCCAGTCCCCACAGACTGCCCTAAGGGCCTCCTCTTTGTCTCGGACCACCTGGTTTCCGAGGTACTGTCTTTGTGTCACTCCTCTCACCTTTTTTGCCATCCAGGGATCAGTAAGATCTTGTCAGTGGTTTGGAGTCGCTTCTGGTGGGGGACCTTGTCCCGGAACGTCAAGGAGTTCGTCTCAGCATGCAGGACCTGCTGTCGGGCTAAATCCTCCCGTCGAAACCCCGCTGGCTACCTGTGCCCATTGCCTATCCCACATCGTCCTTGGTCTCACATTTCCATGGACTTCGTCATGGGTCTGCCTGTTTCTAACACTTATACTGTACTCCTAACCGTTGTTGATCGTTTTTCCAAGATGAGCCATTTGGTCCCTCTAGTCAAGTGGCCGTCTTCCAAAGACCTTGGGGAGGTCCTCCTGTGTTTATGCTCCAAGAACTTCCTGCCAAGGTCCCGTCTGCTCATGCCGCAGCCGTCCGATGTCAGCGGGTTTGGTGACTCACACGCCGGGCGCTACTTAAAACCTCTGCTGTCTATTCTAGATCCGCTAACAGGAGGAGGACCCCCGCGCCTGTGTACTGGGCGGGACAGAAGGTCTGGTTGTCCACCAAGGACCTTCCTCTGAGGGTCGAGAATCGTAAACTGGCTCCCCGCTTTGTTGGCCCCTTTCCTGTCTCCAAGGTGGTTAATCCTGTTGCAGTTCGTCTCTGTCTCTCCAGCACCCTGCGGGTCTGTCCCACCTTTCATGTGTCTCATATCAATCCTGTGTCTACATCCCGTCTGGTGCCCTC